CTCATTGTAAATACTCCCTTTCTTGTTGTGTTGTAATTACCTCTTTTCTTGTCTCATTGTAAATAACCCCTTTCTCGTCATGTTGTAATTATCGCTTTTCCTATCTCATTTTAAATTTCCCTGCATTGTCGTTTGGTTTATAACTCATGTCTTGTCTTATTGTAAATACCCCTTTTCTTGTCTAATTGTAAATACCCCCGTTCCTGTTGTTTGGTTAGTAACTCCCGTCTTGTTTCATAATAAATAACCTTCCCCTGTCGTGTTGTAATTTTTCTCCTTTATTGTTTAATTGTAAATACCACCGTTCCTGTCGTATGGCATGTATCTCTTTTTGTGTCTCACAGTAAATACCCCCTGCTCTGTCGTGTTAAAAATTATCTCTCTTCTTGACTAATTGTTAATACCCCTATTCCTGTCGTATGGTAGGTATCTCATTTTAAATACCCCCATTCATTTCGTTAGGTAAGTAACTCCTGTCTTGTCTCATTGTAAATACTCCTTTTTGTTTTGTAATTATCTATTTTCTTGTCTCAGTTTAAATATCCCTGCCTTGTCGTGTAGCAATTTTTCTCCTTGTCTAATTTTAAATACCCCCTTCCTGTTGTATGTTAAGTGTTTCTTTTTGTGTCTCATTGTGAATACCACCTCTCCTGTTGTATGTTTGATTACTCCTGTTTTGTCTCATTGTAAATACCCCCTTTCATGTCGTTTGGTAGGTAACTCCTGGCTTGTGTCTTTGTAAATACCCCCTTTCATGTCGTTTGGTAGGTAACTCCTGTTTTGTCTCATTGTAAATACCCCTTTTCTTGTCTTGATGTAATTATCTTTTTTTCTCGTCTCATTTTAAAGATCCCGGCCTTGTCGTGTGATGTCTCATTGTAAATATCCCCGTTCCTGTTTAATGGTAAGTATCTTCTTTTGTGTTTCATTTTAAAACCCCTTTTCATGTTGTTTGGTACATTGTAGGTACCTCCTGTCATATCTCATTGTAAATACCCTTGTTCCTGTCGTATGGTAGGTATCTCTTTTTGTGTCATTGTAAATATACTTTTTCTTGTCTAATTGTAAATGCCCTTGCCTTGTCGTGTTGTAAATACCCCCTCTTCTTTTCTTGTCGTGTTGTAATTATGTCTTTACTTTTCTCATTTTAACCCTTGTCTTGTCGTGTCTCACAGTAAATACCCCCTGCTCTGTCGTGTTAAAAATTATCTCTCTTCTTGACTAATTGTTAATACCCCTATTCCTGTCGTATGGTAGGTATCTCATTTTAAATACCCCCATTCATTTCGTTAGGTAAGTAACTCCTGTCTTGTCTCATTGTAAATACTCCTTTTTGTTTTGTAATTATCTATTTTCTTGTCTCAGTTTAAATATCCCTGCCTTGTCGTGTAGCAATTTTTCTCCTTGTCTAATTTTAAATACCCCCTTCCTGTTGTATTTTAAGTGTTTCTTTTTGTGTCTCATTGTGAATACCACCTCTCCTGTTGTATGTTTGATTACTCCTGTTTTGTCTCATTGTAAATACCCCCTTTCATGTCGTTTGGTAGGTAACTCCTGGCTTGTGTCTTTGTAAATACCCCCTTTCATGTCGTTTGGTAGGTAACTCCTGTTTTGTCTCATTGTAAATACCCCTTTTCTTGTCTTGATGTAATTATCTTTTTTTCTCGTCTCATTTTAAAGATCCCGGCCTTGTCGTGTGATGTCTCATTGTAAATATCCCCGTTCCTGTTTAATGGTAAGTATCTTCTTTTGTGTTTCATTTTAAAACCCCTTTTCATGTTGTTTGGTACATTGTAGGTACCTCCTGTCATATCTCATTGTAAATACCCTTGTTCCTGTCGTATGGTAGGTATCTCTTTTTGTGTCATTGTAAATATACTTTTTCTTGTCTAATTGTAAATGCCCTTGCCTTGTCGTGTTGTAAATACCCCCTCTTCTTTTCTTGTCGTGTTGTAATTATGTCTTTACTTTTCTCATTTTAACCCTTGTCTTGTCGTGTTCTAATTATCTCTTTTTTTGTCTCCTTGTAAGCATCCCTCCCATATCGTGTTATAATTTATGTCCTTTCTTGTTCAATTTTAATTACCCTCCGTTCCTGTTGTATGGTAAGTATCTCCTTTTGTGTCTCATAGTTAATATCTGCCCTTTCGTGCTGCTAATTATCTCCATTCTTGTCTTATTGGTTAAACCCCGTTCCTGCCGTATGGTAGGTATCTCCTTTTGTGTCTCAGTAACTCCTAGCATGTCTCTTTGTAAATATATCTACCCTGTCGTGTTTTATATTTTATCTCCTTTCTTGACTCATTGTAAGTGGTGTATCTCCTTTCTTGACTCATTGTAAGTGTTGTATCTCCTTTCTTGTCTCATTGTAAGTGTTGTATATCCTTTCCTGACTCATTGTAAGTGTTGTATCTCCTTTCTTGTCTCATTGTAAGAGTTGTATCTCCTTTCTTGTCTCATTGTAAGTGTTGTATCTCCTTTCTTGTCTCATTGTAAGTGTTGTATCTCCTTTCTTGTCTCATTGTTAGTGTTGTATCTCCTTTCTTGTCTCATTGTAAGTGCTCTATCTCCTTTCTTGTCTCATTGTTAGTGTTGTATCTCCTTTCTTGACTCATTGTTAGTGTTGTATCTCCTTTCTTGACACATTGTAAGTGTTGTATCTCCTTTCTTGTCTCATTGTTAGTGTTGTATCTCCTTTCTTGTCTCATTGTAAGTGCTCTATCTCCTTTCTTGTCTCATTGTTAGTGTTGTATCTCCTTTCTTGACTCATTGTTAGTGTTGTATCTCCTTTCTTGACTCATTGTAAGTGTTGTATCTCCTTTCTTGTCTCATAGTAAGTGTTGTATCTCCTTTCTTGTCTCATTGTAAGTGTTGTTTTTTTCCTTTCTTGTCTCATTGTAAGTGTTGTATCTCCTTTTTTGTCCCACTGTAAGTGTTGTGTCTCCTTTCTTGTCTCATTGTAAGTGTTGTATCTCCTTTCTTGTCTCATTGTAAGTGTTGTATTTCCTTTCTTGTCTCATTGTAAATGTTGTATCTCCTTTCTTGTCTCATTGTAAGTGCTCTATCTCCTTTCTTGTCTCATTGTTAGTGTTGTATCTCCTTTCTTGACTCATTGTTAGTGTTGTATCTCCTTTCTTGACACATTGTAAGTGTTGTATCTCCTTTCTTGTCTCATTGTTAGTGTTGTATCTCCTTTCTTGTCTCATTGTAAGTGCTCTATCTCCTTTCTTGTCTCATTGTTAGTGTTGTATCTCCTTTCTTGACTCTTTGTTAGTGTTGTATCTCCTTTCTTGACTCATTGTAAGTGTTGTATCTCCTTTCTTGTCTCATAGTAAGTGTTGTATCTCCTTTCTTGTCTCATTGTAAGTGTTGGTTTTTTTTCCTTTCTTGTCTCATTGTAAGTGTTGGTTTTTTTTCCTTTCTTGTCTCATTGTAAGTGTTGTATCTCCTTTTTTGTCCCACTGTAAGTGTTGTGTCTCCTTTCTTGTCTCATTGTAAGTGTTGTATCTCCTTTCTTGTCTCATTGTAAGTGTTGTATTTCCTTTTTTGTCTCATTGTAAGTGTTGTATCTCCTTTCTTGACTCATTGTAAGTGTTGTATCTCCTTTCTTGTCTCATAGTAAGTGTTGTATCTCCTTTCTTGTCTCATTGTAAGTTTTGTTTTTTTTCCTTTCTTGTCTCATTGTAAGTGTTGTATCTCCTTTTTTGTCCCACTGTAAGTGTTGTGTCTCCTTTCTTGTCTCATTGTAAGTGTTGTATCTCCTTTCTTGTCTCATTGTAAGTGTTGTATTTCTTTCTTGTCTCATTGTAAATGTTGTATCTCCTTTCTTGTCTCATTGTAAGTGATCTATCTCCTTTCTTGACTCATTGTTAATGTTGTATCTCCTTTCTTGACACATTGTAAGTGTTGTATCTCCTTTCTTGTCTCATTGTTAGTGTTGTATCTCCTTTCTTGTCTCATTGTAAGTGCTCTATCTCCTTTCTTGTCTCATTGTTAGTGTTGTATCTCCTTTCTTGACTCATTGTTAGTGTTGTATCTCCTTTCTTGACTCATTGTAAGTGTTGTATCTCCTTTCTTGTCTCATAGTAAGTGTTGTATCTCCTTTCTTGTCCCACTGTAAGTGTTGTGTCTCCTTTCTTGTCTCATTGTAAGTGTTGTATCTCCTTTTTTGTCCCACTGTAAGTGTTGTGTCTCCTTTCTTGTCTCATTGTAAATGTTGTATCTCCTTTCTTGTCTCATTGTAAGTGTTTTATCTCCTTTCTTGACTCATTGTAAGTGTTGTATCTCCTTTCTTGACTAATTAAAATCCGTTCTTGTTGTTATTTGTCTCCTCCCTTGTATTATTGTAAATATCTCTCCTGTCGTATTTTTGTTTATCTCCTTTTTTGTCTCATTATAAATACCCCTTGTCCGTACTTGTTGTTATTATCTCTTTTCTTGTCTCATTTTAAAAATCCTTGCCTTATCGTGTTGTAAATACCCCCTCTCCCTTTTATATGTTTGAGATATTAAATGGTCACAAATGATGAGATGTATATCGACAAAAGTCCACAAGATCAGAAATTTCCACTGTTCGGTAGGTTATGATAGGTTCTCAAATATTAATCCAGCCAATGTCATTCCTTACAGAATCAATGTGTTGCATCTTTATTAAACTGTCGACTTGTCAAAGACAGTATAATCACTTGCTTACATGGGTATAAACTTTCCCAGTCAATCAATAAATCTCGTACTTGGTAACTATACTGTATGTTTTTTTTTGTCATTGTTGGTCGTACGGTGACCTATAGGTGCTTACGTCTACAACCACTTGGATTCTGGTGTATAGTTGTCTCATTGGTATTCAGATCACATCTTATTGTTTTTTTTATATATATATATACAGTGATAGTTGTTATTGATATGCAGTGTATATTATTGTTGTTTATATGCAGTGTATATTATTGTTGTTTATATGCAGTGTATATTATTGCTCTTTTTATGCAGTGTATATATTTTAGACTGTGGAGAACCAGAAAATACTGATATGAGCAATATATTTCCACGTATTCACGAAGACCATCATACTCTTACTAAAGCAGATATTTTCTTAGCGAGGGCTACTAAATACGGTAATTCCATATGTTATCTTAGCGAGGGCTACTAAATACGGTAATTCCATATATTATCTTAGCGAGAGCTACTAAATACGGTAATTTCATATATTATCTTAGCGAGGGCTACTAAATACGGTAATTCCACATATTATCTTAGCGAGGGCTACTGAATACGGTAATTTCATATATCATCTTAGCGAGGGCTACTAAAAACGGTAATTCCATATATCATCTTAGCGAGGAGCGAGAGCTACTAAATACGGCAATTACACATATAATCTTAGCGAGGGCTACTAAATACGGTAGTTCCTTATATTATCTTAGCGAGGCCTACTAAATACGGTAATTCCATATATTATCTTAGCGAGAGGTACTAAATACGGTAATTCCATATATTATCTTAGCGAGAGGTACTTAATACGGTAATTCCATATATTATCTTAGCGAGGGCTACTAAATACGGTAATTCCATATATTATCTTAGCGAGAGGTACTAAATACGGTAATTCCATATATTATCTTAGCGAGGGCTAATAAATACGGTAATTCCATATATCATTTTAGCGAGGGCTAATAAATACGGTAATTCCATATATCATCTTAGCGAGGAGCGAGACCTACTAAATACGGCAATTCCACATATTATCTTAGCGAGGGCTACTAAATACGGTAGTTCCTTATATCATCTTAGCGAGGGCTACTAAATACGGTAGTTCCTTATATTATCTTAGCGAGAGGTACTAAATACGGTAATTCCATATATTATCTTAGCGAGGGCTACTAAATACGGTAATTCCTTATATTATCTTAGCGAGTGTTACTAAATACGGTAATTCCTTATATTATCTTAGCGAGGGCTACTAAATACGGTTATTTCACATATTGTCTTAGCGAGGAGCGAGAGCTACCAAATACGGCAATTCCACATATATTATCTTAGCGAGAGCAACTAAATACGGTAATTCCCAATATTATTTTAGCAAGGGCTACTAAATACGGTAATTCAATATATTATCTTAGCGAGGGCTACTAAATACGGTAATACCATATATCATCTTAGCGAGGGCTACTAAATTCGGCAATTCTACATATTATCTTAGCTAGCTACTAAATACGGTAATTCCTTATCTTATCTTAGCGAGGGCTACTAAATACGGTAATTCCTTATATTATCTTAGCGAGGGTTACTAAATACGGTAATTCCTTATATTATCTTAGCGAGGGCTAATAAATACGGTAATTCCATATATTATCTTAGCGAGGGCTAATAAATACGGTAATTCCATATATTATCTTAGCGAGGAGCGAGAGCTATTTAATACGGCAATTCCACATGTTATCTTAGCGAGGGCTACTAAATACGGTAATTCCACATATTGTCTTAGCGAGGAGCGAGAGCTACTAAATACGGCAATTCCACATATTATCTTAGCGAGGGCTACTAAATACGGTAATTCCATATATAATCTTAGCGAGGGCTATTTAATACGGTAATTCCACATATTATCTTAGCGAGGGCTACTTATTACGGTAATTCCACATATTATCTTAGGGAGGCTTCTAAATACGGTAATTCTATATTTCATCTTAGCGAGACAATTAAATACGGTAATTCCCAATATTATCTTAGCGACGGCTACTAAATACGGTAATTCCATATATTATCTTAGCGAGGGCTACTAAATACGGTAATTCCATATATTATCTTAGCGAGAGGTACTTAATACGGTAATTCCATATATTATCTTAGCGAGGGCTACTAAATACGGTAATTCCATATATTATCTTAGCGAGAGGTACTTAATACGGTAATTCCATATATTATCTTAGCGAGGGCTACTAAATACGGTAACTTCATATATTATCTTAGCGAGAGGTACTAAATACGGTAATTCCACATATTATCTTAGCGAGAGGTGCTAAATATGGTAATTTCATATATTATCTTAGCGAGAGGTACTAAATATGGTCATTTCATATATTATCTTAGCGAGGCTACTAAATACGGTAATTTCATATGTTATCTTAGCGAGGGTTACTAAATACGGTAATTTCATATATTATCTTAGCGAGAGCTACTAAATACGGTAATTTCATATATTATCTTAGCGAGAGCTACTAAATACGGCAATTTTATATATTATCTGTAAAAAATATATGTTTTATTCTCATTTACCACACTTCGAAAGACAGATTTAATTTTACTTTCGTCGTTTTCACTTTTAGTTGATTGTTCAAAATTTTGTTTTCAGGATAATAAACGAAGAACCCCTCTTTTAAATTGATTGAAATTTTAAATTGAATGTTTTTGAACAAATTTATGATCTCTCAGTTTCTGCGATAGGGTATTTGTGATCACTATCTAGATCACTTGTTTAGTAATTGTAGGAAATATTCTTATCTTCGATGAGTTATTTGTTTGATTCCATTCAAATTGATAAATATGATCATTAATAATTACTATATGTGTTTGATTGATGCGAAAATATCCATGATATATATAGATGAATTGTTTGATTTCAGACCCCATCGTTTCTAATACGGAATCCAAGGGTTTCTGGTTCATCCAAGCGTTTGTACACATAATGAAGTACCATGCACATCACAATCATCTGTTAGATATAATGACAAAGGTAAACATTGTCAAGTATTTTACAAAATTTTCATAATTTTATCCGAAACGAAATATTTGAATGTATACATAAATGTGACATAAAAGAGAGAACATTTAGTTTGAAACAACACGGACATTTAAAATGTAATACATGTATCACTTCACATACACGGAAAACATATCAAAAGCAAACCCGAGTAAACTGAAAACCGTAACGAGAGTATTCTCCATGAGAAAAGACAAAACAAAGTGGACTCGCTGAATAATTTTAAAATTACGCTGTGGAATTACTTGTGATACAAAAAATTTACATCATTGAGCATTATAAATTTCACTTTTAAATAAAAAATACAAACAATGCTGGGAATGAATGATGAACTTGATAGTTATTTCCCCCAAAGGGCACAATATTAGTTTCTATGGATCAAGCAAAAGAGTGTGATAGTTTGGATGTCCTATTGATTTGTTTTAAAGGGCAATGCAACTTAACGTTTTATTCATTTACTTTCTTTCAAATACTTTTTTTCTGAAAATGGTGGAAGTGCTAAGATATAGTTTTGTATCCCAACTTTTGAGAATGGAAGGGATGATAATTCTCCCCTTCTTTTTACCACGTATGTGTACGTTATAAACTTTAGGGTTTAATAGAAGAACAGAAGATCTGGCATAATTGCCTATGAGACAACTATCCACCAGAGACCAAATGATAACGAGAACATTTTATATATTTGATCATACTTGTAAACAAACAAACGAACCTATATTGTGTATTTCTTAAACTAACTCATTGTTTTACAATAGCCCATGAATTTTCACAAACCTTTTCTTAAACAATGTTTTATTTTATTAGGTGAATGGATTAGCACAAGAAGATGATCAACTTGTTGACAGTATGAATACATTGACTAGACCCTTATACTTCTTCCCAGACTAGATCCTTATACTTCTTCCCAGACTAATGTATATTGACTATGGAGAATTTGTCAAATGGAATGAATGTTGTCATTTTCTATGTATATTTTAGTAGATAAGCTGAACAATTGTGAAATGTATATTTATTTTATCATTGTTTTGACTTGTAGACTATATAATTATGTTTTCAAATTAATTAGATTTTTTTTGCTGTTTTGTGTTATTAATCAACAGATGTCTGAATCAAAGAAATGTTTCTTTTTTGTTTTGTTTCACCCAGAAGGAAATTTACCCAAAGGAACTTATTTTAAACAAATCAAATATAAACGGTAATAGCTGTCCTTTCCTAGATTTACATATTTCAGTTTTACACCAAAATGTACGATAAAGGGGACGACTTTTCGTTCCCTATTGTTATTTTCCTTTTTTGGATGGTGATGTGCCTTTGGTACCACCTTACGGTGTTTATATATCCCAAGTCATTCGCTATGACCGTGTTTATATATCCCAAGTCGTTCGCTATGACCGTGTTTGAAGTGACGTTTTGGATTTCAATGAACGCAATCTATGCCATTTCAGCACGTGCACTTTTGTTGTATTAGTTGTTATTGGCTTTGAACTAGCTGTCAGTAACTACGAGTACTCTCAGATCTGTACTTAGTACAGACTTTATAGCTGACTATGCGGTATGGGCTTTGCTCATTGTTGAAGGCCGTACTGTGACCGATAGTTGTTAATTTCTGTGTCGTATATAGTCTCTTGTGGAGAGTTATCTCATTGGCAATCATACCACATCTTCTTATTTTTATATTTAGTGTCTTTTTTGTTGTGTGGAGGGGGCCTCGGTGGCCAAGTGGTCTAAGTAGTTCTACTACTGTAATCACTAGCCAGTCAACACTGCTCGTGCTGGTGCACTCGACTCCAATCTTAATTGACTAGGATTTTCAGTTTTCCTATCGAAGGTCGGTGGTTTTCTCCTGGCACTCCGGCTTCCTCCACCAATAAAAACTGGCCGCCACGAAATAGCCCAAATGTGGCGCTTAAAAGTGGCGTTTAAACTCCAACAATCAATCAATTAATCAATTTTGTTGTGTGGATGTATAAATACCCTGTCACGTCCGGTCCGTTTTTTTTTTTTTGTAAGCTGTTTTTTTCTGCTTTTTATCGATCTAATGAGTTTGGCTCTTTTCAACTGATTTTTATAGTTTGTTTATATGCTGTACTGTTACACCACTGTCCTAGGTTAGGGCAGGGTTTGTCGCCAGCAAACTAGTATAACCCAACTGTCCCAAGTAATCATACTACATCTTATTTTTATATGAATAGACAAACAACAGTATAAAACGCTACACTTAACACTAAAGTAATACCATCAACACACGGATTGAACTCAGAATCTCCGGATAGGTCACAAATTATTTCCTGAAAAATAATTTGTTGAATCATTTGATTTGTCATAATTGGTGACATGGTCTCATTCTTTAATCTTGTCAAACCCTTACACTTTAACTTCACTGTTCTTGACACAAGCAAAAGGGGATGTAGGTGTACGTCAATGAGACAGCAACCCAACAACAAAATTAACTAGTAACGGTAACGGTTCCAATTCTACTGCCACAGATGCGCATTTCGATAAGTAATCATGCCTGTTTAACGGTGGCCAGAAATCATGCCCGAGGCCAAATCTATTACAAACATTGGATAGCTGATAGAAACGAAAAGGACCAAAATGTGTAGCCACGACGGGGAATACGAGCTCTGAAGTAATAGAGCAACACACAGTCTCAACAATAGTGTCTATACTCTTATTGTTAAAGCTCCAATTCATCCCATACTGTTCCTACCCACTTATTATTGTGTTGAAACACGGTGGATACGATCATGCAGAGTTGTTGTCATATGGCACGAATTTTCTTTTGTGTTTTTCTTTGTATTCTTCATTACTGAAATGCAACAGGTCGTTAACTGTCTCGGTTTACCAAATTATGTCTAAAATAAAATGATCAATGATAGAACTGAGTCCCATATTTGTATTATTTATTTTAGATTTGAACAGAACGTCTATTTATTTCCTTTTTTAATCACCGATGGCGATTAAATATTACAATACTTCTACTGAAGACAAATGATCCATAGATAGAATATGTTATTTTCAAAAACTGAAATTGAAGCAGTCATGTTAGAGAAATAAGATTTTATGAGATATATGTAACCATTAACGACAATGATACAACATGCACCGTCCACGAATGCAACTTTACATGATGTCTCCTAATTCTCCTTATGCATTTTCAATAAAACAAACAGGAAATTGAAATAATTTTGTTCTTGAAAATAAAAAATCACATTAACCGAATATTTGTTAGATATTTTGCTAAAAGAATGATCTATGTTTATATTAAGTAAAACAAACATCATAAAAAGTAAAATCACAAAAATACTGAACTACGAGGAAAATTCAAAAAGGAAAGTCCCATATCAAATGGCAAAATAAAAAAAAAACGAAACGCATCAAACGAATGGATAACAACTGTCATATTCCTGACTTGGTACAGGCATTTTCTTATATAGAAAATGGTGGATTAAACCTGGTTTTATAGCTAGCTAAACCTCTCACTTGTATGACAGTCGCATCAAATTATAAAATATCATTTTACAAAAGATCACGACAGCTTTTACAAGAGCAAAAGAACAAAACAAAAAACAGGAAAACTTGTTCATTACCTGCTTTACTCAATCGTTTAGTCTAAAAAGGTCAAACATAACTCCGGTTAAGTCCATTATTTATTTATCATCATTAGGTAAATTAATATAGTATAAAACAGAATACAAATGAATATACTCTGTATTGAAATCCATTAAATTTGCGGAGCTACTATGATCACTTTCTGTGTTCGGATTGACATTATTAAATGGCAAGGTCTTGGTCGCCTGGTATTCGTCAAAAGAAGGGTCCCGTGGTTTGACTACATTGAACGTTTTAGTCTTTGCCTGCTGGTATTAGTCAAATGAAGGGTCCCGTGGTTTGACTACATTGAACGTTTTAGTTTTGGCCTGCTCAACACCAAACATTCTTCGTAACATAAAACCTCTTCTTTTGTCTTTAATTTCTTTAAGGCGGAGGAAAAGATGCAACACGAGACCAAAGGCTATACAAGCAATGATAGTATTGAGAACGAAGAATACATAGCTTATGATATCTAAAACAGTTATACACTTTCCACCACTCGCAAAACCTGGAAAACAAAAAACATATGTTAAATACAAGTTAACATAAATCTTCCATAATCAACAAGTATACATACAAGTTAGTACAAATAGTTCTTATTTAAATGTCACTCCAGATTAAAAATGTGTTTAAATCACGACCTTTGCATTACAGAGACTTTATCACGTGATTTATTGTTTGATTGATATTGATTGGAGGTTGTTTAACATGTTTAAGGTCTAGCGGAAAATTGATTGGTGGTTATTTAAGGTCTAGCGGAAAATTGATTGGTGGTTGTTTAAGGTCTAGCGAAAAATTGATGGGTGGTTGTTTAAGGTCTAGCGGAGAATCGATGTGTGGTCTCTTTTGTCGTGTAGCTATGTGGCAAATTTATATCGAACAATACACATGTAAATAGAAAAAGTGAAAGCATTTTCCGAATGGTCATGATGGTTTAAACTTTCAATTGAATGTCAACTATAAATCTCTGCACGCTAAAGGACTTTTTCAATAGTCTTCGTAGTGGTCGGTTAGAATGAAAAACAATCTGATTTAATCCAATATACCATTGTTTTAAAAAGGCATTCCAAGCCTCACGTCCTATACATAGGCCAACGATCTACAAATTCATTTTAATTTCACTTTGTTCTCATCCTGAATATTAAATTACATATTACATAATAGCACAGCACGAAACATGAACACAAAGATGCATGTACGATATGTCGAGCACAAACACAAATGTCTATACGAAAAATATCATAATAACTGACATCTGACACGTTTAACACAATTGTGAAATGGACACACTATATAAAGGACAGGAAGGAAATATAAACAAGGACAGAAAAGTCGTTCTGTTTGAAATATAAACAATAAAAGAAGGAACGAACGAAACAATACCACTTTTCTTAGTATGAACAAAATATTTCATTTTTTGTTTATACCCCATTACTATCACTATGGGATTAACGCTGATTTATTTATAAAAGAAAATTCTGGAATACTGACCTGTTTGACCTGCACAAACATCATAACTTATACAGTTCGTGGCATAATAAACAGCTCCTCTCTGATCTGTAAAACGAAATCAAATGGCCGTTAATGTAAACATCCTCAAGAGATAAAAGTATACATGTAATATTTTAAACTGACAAGATCTACTCTTTTATTAAACCACTGCACGTATGAACATTCCTTATCATTATTTACTTTTAAACGTACAATGGTCCTTCTCTTTCTTGAAGTCCTACCTAAAGTCAGTGTTTTTAAACGTGTACTTTTAGAGAGATACAGTGCATATTTCCGTGATATACATGTTCCACAAAATCCGGGCATTATATTGTGACAGAAACCTACTTGGGTAACAATGCCATGTCTAGTCACTTTATGTACTAATATCATATTTTGATTCTATTAAACAGGTCTTAAAATTACAGTGAAACTTCAAGAACAAATCAAGTTCTTTTAAAAAAAGACAAACTGTACATAGCCTTTTTGGAATACAAATTTAAAGCTATGTTGATAAAGCAGTGTATAAAGATAAGAAAATGTTAATTATAACTTACTTGCATAATTCGCAGGCGAAGTACAAACTATATCTCCTTCCAAAGTGATGTTATTGTTGATGACATAAGGGATAAACCCGAGAGAGCTGCATGCACATGCCCAAGGGATTCCGTATATCCGAACGTATTGTAAAGAACTTGACTGGAGAAACAAATTGTCTGGGATACTAGTTAAGTCATTGTAACTTATAGATAAATTAGTAAGTTTCAGGTTGTTATAAAATGTATCAGTGCGAAGGGAGCTCAGGTGAATATTATCCAGTATAATTGTTGATGCATTGCTCTGAGTGAAGAGACCACCGTATGGCAAAGAACCGCCAATAATTTCAGTGTTCCGAAGTATAAATTCCCCTTTGGGTGTGACAGCAGACGCCATTTTGTTAACATTTAATCCATAGAAAGTGTCTGCGACCATAGCGTCCATTGATCCACCCTCA